GCGTAATCCTCTAAGCAGTCATCCTAAACATTTTTATCTATTTGCTAAAATAGAAAGATTTGTTAAGAATTATCCGGCTCAAAAGATTAGTGTTCTCGGAGACAATCGATTTGTTCGATATTGGATTGAACGATTTAAAATGAGGTTAACGTATAACGTTATCCATCTCAATAGGAGAATGTGACTTGTTATATACACTACCTTGTCTTATTAGGTTATATGGTAGTCGTTATGTGCATTTTTTAAGTGGAAGAAATGCATTACGAATACCCCCACGATGCGATTGCTTGGAGCGGAGGGTTATGTTGGATTCTAGATCTGTGCATACCCACCAGAAACCCATCTGCGCCACCAATACTCGCTTTGACCGCCACGCGATCTACTACTCGTTTTTCGTTGGTGATGATCCTTGATAACCCTTATGCGCAAAAACTTAAAACAATCGTATATTATTATTTATTTATATATGTTATCACGCCTTTTTCCGAAGGAGTAGACAAAGACCTCGGATCTCCAGTTGCTATAGTCTTGACATACTCTCCTGCTATTTATTTATTTATATACATGGCCAAATTTCAACAAAAAATATTTTTAGTATTTTTTTAGAACTAACAGAAAATATTTTGCTATCTATTTAATCTTTACTAAGTATATTTTTAAATCATAGTTTAAAACAATACGCTGCACAAATAGCTCTCTGACGAAGAGTCGAGAAAACTATTAAGCTGCGAGAGTAAGCGGGAATGAGAGCTTTTTGACGCTGAATAGAGCGAGTCGAATACACAGCTAAAATGTTATTAGGTTACCGGCAGCGGTGATTATTCGCCGGAACGTACAGTCTCATAATCTCTCCCAGGATATGCTTTCATTGTTTATTCTTAAACCAAAATCGATCAAAGCTCAAAGTTCTAGTGAATCAAACCCAAAAACCCCCATCCAGAACTTAGTAGGGTAGAGGTAAGGAAAGAAGTACCTTCTTTTATATAAGGTTCTAAGGAACTTCTTTTGCACCCTTTCAATCATTTCCCTATAATATTTTTCAAGAGGGGACCAAATGATGCATTTTATGACATTTACCTTGCATGCTCGGCGGTTATGGGTACTTTTACTTGTCCCTAGTACCTCGTGGATTTCGTCCAGGTATGTATGACAAGGCCAACCCGATCTCACCATCCACGGTTGCCTTGTATATTCTATTTGTTAACCGCTTCTCATTCCATTCTACATGGCCAAGCCACCTAAGCATTCCCTTTCGTATCCTTGTCATGGCGTCCTCTTTTAACCGACACTGCTCACGTATCTCATTATTACTTATCCTGTCACCCAAAGTTACACCACACATACTTCTAAACGCCATCATTTCTACAGTATTTATTCTACTATAATTCTTTATCTGCCACATCCAACATTAAATATCGTATGTTCTTGGCTGCAAACGCTCCATTTACTCTGTTCCCAGCATTTACTCGTCTTTCTATATCATCGTCATACTTTCCATCCGAAGTTAACATACCGCCTAAATACACGAACTTATCTACTTATTCAACTTTTTCTACCATCTACCAGAATAAAACAGTCATATTAAGACCTCTTTCCAATACCACTGATTTAGTTTTTCCTATGTTCATTTCTCATCCATGGACACACACACACACACAAGGACTGAACATTTTCTCGTAGCTTGATGTTTTCTGGTTTCGGTGCCTGTTTCTGGTCCACGGTTTATCCAGGTCAGGAATAAGTTTTAACGTTTCACATTTTATCCTTCAAATTCATGCTTTGTTTTATTTAAAAAAAAAAGAAGTTTCAAAACTTGATCAATACGTAATTCACTGTAAGTAGATTCCGGGGAGTAAGTTACATTCCGCAGGACATCAGTGTTCATGGCCGTGTCGCCGCCCTTCTTTCTCCGTACTTTGCATTCAGGATATTACCATATTGACTAACTCCTTATTGACAGTTTTTTATGTTACAGGAGGCATAAGGGCTCATCTAATTTAAGATGATACCGCCACCTATGGAGACTTACACTGCACTGCCAGAAGGCTTGCAAGCGCGCTGCTGGCCTTTTAAAAATTGCATAATAATACATACATTTTTGAATAATTTTCTTTTGTGTAATTGGCAAGACAGCGGTTTTTAAATTACTTGGATTTTAGATTACTTTTTAATAACGACATTTTGAAGGCAAACAGAGCAACTTATCTTTTGTAACACTAATAGTCTGTTGATAAATCTGACACATCATCATATTTAAAATCAGTAGGAAAACTCACAAACTAAATGTTATTGTCAATTATCGATCAATGACGGTACAAAGAAAATCTGCATGTTTTGAATCCTTGTATATTTCACAGTAATTTTCTTAAACCAATTTGTCAGTAGCGTACTGAAGCTTTTAGTTAATTTTTTAAAAGCTCTCTGCTTTGAACTTAATTACTCTTTTAAACAATTTTTGTAGCACACAGTATACGACCGCGGGTACAAATATTCCTTCTATTTAATTGAACTGCCCTGACAGATATAGACCACGCCTACCTCTTTTTTGCTAGAAAATATTTGAAACATGAAGTTGTCTAAATATATTCTAATGTTATAAAACTAAGAACGGATTACTGGATCGAATTATGGTTTTTTTGTTAGTCCATTTAAAGAGGTCATTGGCTAATAGGAGCGAAACAGACATATCATTTATTATAAACAAAAACACACACACATAAACACAAAATAACAATAATCAAAGAGAAAAAATTAAATAAAAGACAAGGGTGAATAAAAAACGAGGGTTACGGTACGAGTTGCACAGCCAGTAATAATAAATGCGGGTATAAGTTTTATTTAGACAGTGAACTAACTTTATTCTAATTCATGTTTACTACAACAATTTCATATTAGTTGAATCCTTGGAGTGCAATTAATTTTGTTATACAATATACAGAAGTATAAGTATAGGTTGTAGTTGCTTTCTTTATGTTTTTGGATTCGGTATACTCGTAAAAAGGCAGAAATTATTTTAGGCAGCGAAAGTAGTAGTAGAAAATATTATCTAAGTATTTTCAAATCGAATGAAATCTAAAATTAACTTACTATTATATAAGTACTTTAATCAATTTTTTTGGCGAATCGCGAATCCAATACATTAATAGAAAAAGCGGTTGTCTGTAAAGTCGGTTTACTGACGATAGTTGAACGTGATAACGTCATAAGAAAATACTATCCATCGGTCGGTTTCGTTCGGTTGTATTTTTCAAAAGAAAATTTTAATTTTATTTGTTTGATAAATATTTTGTATGGATATAGAGGAGGTAAATGGAAATCACAATTGAATTGATCAAGTTACATGTATTTGTACGCATAAATACAATTATGTCAATTTTTTGTGCCTCTTTATCGCTCGTTCCGCGCTCTCGCTTGCACTTCAAGCCTTAAATGGAACGCCTCAGAGGTAACGCCGCATGAGTCATGTTTTTTCGTGCGTGCAGCCGGCTCCATCGAATTATAAGACGTTATCACGTCAAAAATCTCTTAAACGCCGGCAATAACATGAATGGTCATGGGCTGCGGTAGCTGCCTTTTATGACTGTTCCATAGGCTGGTTTGCTAATATATATTAAAAAAATCCCACTATAATAAACTTAATTACTAAGGTAAAAGCCCCAATAGATGATTATGTACCAGTATATGATCACTCCATGTATTTGAATATCTATAACACTTTTTACACACTGTATACGTGCTAACGATAATATAAATAAATAATAAATCTGCGTTTACTACACAAGACGTTATGCGACAGAATTGACATCTAAAGTTCTAATATCTAACTAATAAATGAATACATCAACCAATAGCGTGTATTCTTTCTCGATCTCCCTTACTCTCTCTCTCTCTCTCTCTCAATCTTTCTCACTTTAGCTCTCTCCCACCTCACGCTCCATGGCACTGTGCGTGATGCGACGTTTGCTCTATCTCACTCTCTCTTTCGATATTTTTCACTTGCTTGCTCCCTACTCTCGCTCCACGGCTATTTGGTTCATGGTACGTTCGCCCTTTCTCACTCTCTCTCAATCGGTCTCAATCGCTCCTCTTCCTTTTCTTCGACAAAAACGCTGCACATCTTCGTGACGCTAATATTACTATTATTGCGTTTCTTCCGTAAAAAAATTACCCTAATGCGCCTAAAGTAATTTCACTTTAAAAATATTGAGAAGATTTTGTGAAAGTATAATTAAATGAAAGTGATTTCTTGTTCTTTTTTCTCACTATCACTAGGTGTATTTACATTATTCCTAACCTACATAATAATAATAATTATTATTATAAATGGATAAATAGAAAATGCTGGCAGCATTTCCTAGCTGTATTGTGATACTTATTTGTTTGGCGAGGAAAGCACCAGCTCTGGGGTCACCGGTACTATCTACCAATCGCCAACTTAAATCTTTAATTAGCGCCTGTGCATTTAAACCCCACGACCTATGACTCTCAGGATTTCTCTTATGTTTTGAGATTAAACATTTATACATTTAAGTATATATAACATAGCAAAGAACTAATAGTTTGTACACGACAAATAAATGTAAACATTTTGCTCATAGTTGCATTATACATGTAATTAAAAAATGTATACTTTAAGTTACATTTTAGTCGACCCCTTTCAGTAATGGACTTCCTCTATAAAATTAAATTTTTCTCCCACACAAGGAGAGACACTTAATTTAACTCTAACATTAGATTTCAATTGTCTAATTCTCAAACAACCGCCATTTAATTAAACATGAAAAAAGGAAAACATTTCTTGAACACGTCAACTGATCTCTAAAACAGGAACGTTTGCATAATTGGATTACAAGGTCTATCAATCAATCTAATCGTCTATATTAGATGCTTCGGATTTGGTTAAAAGCGCTCCACTTTAATCCATTTACAAGTAAAGTGGTCCCAGGACACCGGAACTTTTTTATTAAACATTCGTTTCAAACAGTACAGCGACGTTTATCATGCGCGTTGTATTTCTCTTCGCCCTTTTAATCGTCAATATATTATGCGACGAAGGGACACATATATATCATGAAAAGAATTTAATATGGAAACGTGAAGTCACCGAGAATAACACAGAATTGAATTTAAAACATCACAAACTACTGGAATCGTTCAAAAACAGGTGGCCGGTGGAGAAATGGCGCAAGTTCCAATATTTTACGGATGATTATTTGGACCTCATAAATGAGCATTGGCTACAGTTTTCGCCGCCCAACGAGGCGTTGCAAAAGATTCTGGGTGGTGTATACGTTTTGTTCTCGACTGTTGGCTGTTGGGGCAACGTTATGGTTCTACTCATGTATTTAAGGTAAGTATTTAATTGTATATTCAGATTGCAGATTCAGAGCAAGTGTAGGCCTAGTGCCTTCAGCGGGTGACTCTCATCCCTGAGGTCATAGGTTCGATCTCCGGCTGTGCACAAATTTCTTTCTATGTGCACATTTAATATTCGCTTGAACGGTGAAGGAAAACATCGAGAGGAAAGCGGCTTAAGGAGACCCAAAACGTCGACGGCGTGTGTCAGGCTCAGGAGGCTGAAATAGATACAGAAATCTGAGGCCCAGACTTAAAAACGTTGTTTCTTTTTTAAATATTCATATTAGAGCTGCATGGACGTTGAAATGGGACGTAATGCAGATTTTCTCTTTCTCTTAATGCAGAGTCATCTTTTTCATTGGTTCATTATAAACTAATGCCGAGACAATTTTTCGCAGGGAAGTGAACTTAACCGTTTATATATAAACATAAATATAACGACTTCGTTAAAATAAATTTTGTTCCAAATACAAACAATGAATCAATCGATCAGAAACCTTCGGCCTAATTAAAACAGTTTAAATCAAAAGTAAATTAAAATTACGATTTAGTACGATGATATCCAAAGCACTTGTTAGCTCTTCAGATTGAAACGATTATTTTAAACGGTTTCCCAATTTGCGAGAACGCTTTTACAAGATCGCAATAACAAATTTAAATAACTAGAAATTTTATTCAAATTACGACATGAATTATTCTTTAAATATTGATTCCGAAATGGTAATTGGAGTTTGGTTATATTACGACAAAATAATTTAAATTAAACTCGATTTACATTACTCGATATTTCTAGTGCAATCGTCAAAACTAGGAGGCCTTGTTCTGAGAAGAACAGGCAAGAAACTCAGCAAGTTTTACCCTCCCTCTATATTACAATTATTCAAAGGAAAGTGTCATAAACCACAACGTCATTAAAGTTACATAAGTAAAAAAAAAAATAATAAAAATCCGTTCTGTGATTTACCACATTCACCATTACACACAAATGAAATTATAAGAATATAATTACAACTATTGCCAAGCGTTTTTATCTTCCAGGTAGTCATTGACTGTGTAGTAACCTTTACACATTAAGGTTTTTTTGATATGTGTTTTGAATCTGTTTAAAGGCAGTTCCAAATGTCAATCGTATTCATGTAGCTGGAGAGATTTGCTTAAATATTATTGTAACGTTTAGAAATGTATACCTTTGTATTCACTGTTGCAAAGTTGTTTTACTTTAATTATCTTGGACTTTTGACATCAAAAATTTTACTCCAGTTTGCTGAGTCTATAGATTCTTATATAACATTGTACGAAAATGTCGAACACCCTTGGCTAAAAGTAATTAATAAAACCTTTTAAGGAAATATGCATTTTTGCAACATAATGAACTTCACATATAAAGCCTGAAAATTTCATTACTCAAACATTTTAAGTTTTTTCGCAATTGCAAAAACAATTCAATTTTGAAAATTAAATTCTCGCGGCCTTGCTCTTTCGCGACAGATTTCATAAATGTATTTAGAAGAAAATCCAGTTAAAACGATTACATTAAGTATGTCAAAGTTTAACTACAGTTTAAGTGTAATGTAAAATAGACACGGTCTGGGATTTCAAACAAAATAACGCATTGAAAAACACTTTTTTTTAACGGATTTGAGGTTATGTTTTATTATAAATTTACAATTATTTTACATAATTTTAAATTTAACGGACGTTTCGCGTTCTTTACAGCGTGCGTGGTCACGGTGACTAAACTTGACTTAACTTATTAAACGTCGGTTATTAAAATTATGTAAAATAATTGTAAATTTATAATAAAACATAACTTCAAATCCGTTAAAAAAAGTGTTTTTCTATGTCTAAAAGTTATTTCAATAAAAAAATAACGCATTGTTCGCGTGTTGTTAATTGAATTTGAACTGATATTGACCAATGTCAATCAAACGAAATGTGACTTCGTTTTGTCTTCTATTATCCTTATTAATAAATTAGGTTAGACTTAAATAACTTATTAGTCTTAAGTTAGGCTAGATCGTAATATTCCATGATGTCTTAATGGACACATGTATAAAAAAAAGTTTTGTCTTTTATTAACTATCTTAAAGAAGATTCCTCCATAGTCCTGCTTTTTACTGTATGCACATGCGAAGAATACAGACAATAAAATTGTTAACGTAATAAATCACATTTTTGCACGGAAAATTTTAGAATTAATTGGAAACACGACAAGTGACATTTGTTTTCGAATAGTAAAAGTATAACTGGAAAAAAATCAAGGCTCTTATAAATATTTGCTAAAATAAACTTCTAGAAGTGATGAGCCAACTGGAAAAACATGGAGAGGATCATTCTGTGAAGAGGGGAGTTAGGCAAGGAGACCTACTGTCTCCAAAATTTTTAGGAGTTAAAACTGGGAAGATTATGGAATAAATGTAAACGGAGCGAAGCTTAACCATATAAGATTTGCAGACGATATTGTCATTTTCGCACTGAGGACAGTCATCAAGAAAACTGGGTTAACTATGAACCCTTTAAAAGTAGTGATTGAGGAGATTAGTTGAATATGTATAGAAATATATATGACGGATCGAGGGTAGGATAGACAAAGTGGACGAGGAAGGAGAACTAGGCACAATAACGAGCATGCACGACCTGAATTTTAACAAAAACAGGGCCTAAGTTATTGAAGATAACGCCAGAAATGCCCCTGCTACAGAGATTGAGTAGGCCTTAGACATATCTTCCGTACCATAATTCCTGTTAAGTCTTCCTTTAGGGCTTTACCGCTAAGTTAACACTGCTTCAAACATAAAGAATAGTATTTAAAACATAATATACCAAAGAAAGTAAACTTCTTTTGTTTGACAGATTTATTTAACAATGACCAATTTGCTTAATGGACGAGACATTTTTATCAACTTTTATACTTATACTAATTGGAGGTGGGAGTAAATTGAAGAAGGTTCATGACCTCTTATTGAAAGGGTTATTGGATACTATCAGGATACTTTGAAAATAGTAGATTTTTACATTTTTTGTTATAGATAGACATTTATTTATTTACCAATTTTTAATTTTATTTATCATATTGTCATTTGTTGTATTAGTGTATGCGGTGATGTTAGTTATTTCGACTATGTATTTGCGTGTTGTTCTCACGAGAATGTAAGTGCGTGCTCCTATTTCACCGTGCCTCCTGCTGATAGAGGACAAATATTTGTTTTTAATTAATTATATTATTTTATATTACTTAAGATGTCATGTGGAACATGGTGTAATGGTTGCAGCTCCTTACAAACGTTGTGTAAAACAAAAAACGTTTCGATTAAAAAGAGTGGCGGAGAGTTTATTGCCAGCTCTTCTCTTCCGTTCTACACCCTTCATTTTTAGTTAAAAGGAGAAGGAATTTGTTAATATATATTATTCACACCCTCACAGCACAGCCGAAATAGATATCATATAATATTTTTTATTGATAAGTAAATTTTTCCTTTCTTACGAATTTAAAAAGAAATTTAAACATTTTTGTAGTATTTTTTTGAATTCCATCTTTGGCTATAGCAAATAACATATATGTTAGTATCATTGTTTTTTGTTCTATATAATTTATGTTAGCTGTAGAAATAAATAATAATTGTTTAATACTGCATTATTAGAAAAACAAATAAAGTATTACAGTACTAATTAATTACTTTGTCAATTGTAAGACTGTCATTGTGTGGTCCCTTAGATTCCCGTCATTGTTAACGGCTTTCTTTAATCATTTGTTAACCAGCCGATCATGAAATCACGTAGCTGACGTGAACAATAATAATTAAACCTTAAGAAGAATCACATCTGATCTAAAGTAGGTGTTCTATATGAGTACGTTTATACACAGAGAAAATTTATAAAATACTAGCTGACTCGTCAAACGTCATTTTGCCATGTATATTACTTCTAAGAAACATTTTTTTAGTTTAACAAAAATAACTATCTACAAAATAGGGGTTCATCGTAGAGGGGTGAAAATTAGGGGTTGTATGTATATTTGTATTATAATAAAATAAAAACTAACAATATTGTCTAAAAACTAAAAAATACAATTTTAGGGTGGACACCCCTTATCACTTAGGGATTTGAAAGATAGATAGTAGCCGATTCTTAGACTTGACTTTATATATAGGGATATATAATATTTTGATATTGTTTAGAAGTTTTTGTTTTAAATGTTTGATATTTAGTAAAGCTTTAAAGAACTTTCTTATGGAAATAAAATATTTTCTTCAAAGAATAGTGGTAACAATATGTTCTTAAGCGTAAAGTTTATTGTTGAATAGAACAACATTTCTTTTAATACGGGTCTTCTGTAGCTATAAAAGTTGTTTCGAAACTCCGTGAAACATAAAAGCTTTATTGACGAAAGCTCAAAGCATACTAATTCTTATTCATATTACTTCCTTTGTTTACTACGAGATATGCGTGAGATTTTGAGTTGTGATACTATTTGGTGATTTATATCCTGTTTAAATAAGTTTAATCAAGCTCGTTATAATAAATTAACATATCTAGAATTGTCTTTGATTACAATAACCTTTACACATTTAAAGAAAAACGCTTTTTACCGGATTAAAGTTATGTTTATTATTATAAATTTACAACTATTTGACATAATTTTAAATTTATCCGACGTTTCGCGTGCTTTACAGCGTGCGTGGTCACGGTGACTGAAGACAAAAGATGTTGAATGTCAAAAAGTATCACAGCTGCAGAGAAAGTTGCATTATCTGTATTTATTTCCCCGGAGTTGGTATCGACTAAAAGATGGAGGGTTTTGGCAAAAATGGCTCACGGTGTCCTCTATTTTCGCGGATTGTTTTTCTTTTTGAGATTTTAATTTGGATATTATTGGATCCCTCGGTCGGAGTCGGATAAATTTAAAATTATGTCAAATAGTTGTAAATTTATAATAATAAACATAACTTTAATCCGGTAAAAAGCGTTTTTCATTAAATATCTAGAATTGTTTATTTCAATCAAACATACTTAAAATTCAATTTTCTATAACGTAACCACTAAGCTCATAATACTCATTTATTATCGCATAACAATAATAACAAATTGATACAGTAGAGTGTAGACAAAAGCTTCGATATGGAGCCGAAAGCTCACTCCGCGTTTACGAGCGCGCGCGAGCGGTCGTGTCGTGTGAATCATGATGCAAATAACAAAAATAATCCTTATACTAATCCCGATAATAGTGCCATGTGACAATTCGGTGACGAAAGAACTCGACATCAAATGTATAAAGAAAAGTGTTCTAAGCAAAATGTACTGCAACAATCTCGTGCGATACGTTGAAAACTTTAAACTTTGGAAGAAACGTAAGCGATTGACGAGTATGTTTGATGAGTTAAAGATTAGAATTAAACGAAGAGCAATGGACTACGAGTACGTTTTGGATGTGAAAAGCACACCTGTGGCTCGAGGCGAGCTTCGAAGCAGTTCTGATATTTTGGTAACATTCAAGAGGAATTGGCCTTTGGCGCTGTGGCGACGGTACCTGTTCACTGATGACTACTTGCTCCTCATCAATCCTCATTGGCTGAAATTTGGACCACCAGAGCCTGCCATGCAATATCTCCTTGGTGGGTTATATGTAACCATGGCTGTTGTGGGCTGTTCGGGAAACGCAGTTGTTATCATAATGTATTTTAGGCAAGTATATTTATAGGTATCTTGTTTTACTATATCTATGACATATTTAATGTAATTTTGTAGTTATTGGACGTATTGTTTAGCATTTTGAAACGTTACTTTCACCATACAGATATTTATATATTCATAAAACCCCATCATTAAATTAAGTGTATTCTCTCGTAACAAAACTAAAAACGATGACTATTACGAAAAACGTTTAAAATAAATATTGTGTCATCTCAATTTTCCGCGATTGAAACTTTTCTGGCACATTTCCATTACATATTGTCAAATTGTCTGAACATATACAGGTATCTAAATCCAGACGCTAAATATTTATAGTCAAATATTATTTCTGAGCAAGTTTAACTAAATTGAAAACTGCCTTACGATTCTGTAACTCACTTTTCTACTTTCTACTAAACAATAAACTACAAGGAGGGACCTTATCAGAATGCCAAATCATAAAACTGATTTGAGCGCGACCGCCGCTGCGAAAACAGCTGTGTGAGTTCGAAAAGTGAGTTACAGAATCGCAGGGCTGCTGTGGAACGTGGATCTATTGTTCTACGTTCGCAATTACGACCTGCTTATTCGGAGAAAGTACATAGTGAGGAAGCACAGAACACTTATACTTGTCTATAAAAGTTAGACGATATAACAGAAACACATTTGTACTCATCGTTTAATGGTCCTGTTAAGAGATTGTGTCGGATTAACAATAAAACTGTGATGAAATATTACTCGGTGGACATTTTCAGTAGCTCCATGGAGACCTTTCCGAGCCTGCACCCTGCTGTGTTATTTATTTGTTATTATTATTTTCTTTGCGACTTCTTCGATACAAAAAGTCCCCACGGGAGTCGTGTGCTGTGACATCGCGGGCTACTGCTGAGGAATTTGCATGGATCTGGTTATCGCTGCGCCTTGTTGTTCTCATGTCATTTTCACACAAGTAGATCCTTTCTATAAGCTATTGCCATAACTCTTCGTGAAATACATGAAACTGAAATACAAAACTATACAAATCAAAAATATCAAAAGACACAATATCAATTAGCCGTTCAAGTATTACGTAAGCAGATTTACTGCAATTTGTCCCCCCTTCTTCCTCTTGTCAGCAAAAGTAAGCAAAGCTTTTAATTTTTAATAGTACATAAACGTATTAATATTTTGTAGGAATCCTGTTGCATGCAATGCATTTCGTTTTCAACCATAGACAATATGTGAGTAATATGTGTGAAAAAGTAAATAATTACTGTTGACGTAATCACCAAATAATAAAATCAAAGAGCCCCTATAGTGCTTACGTAATACTTGAACGGCCCCTTACCTATGTTGGTATACATGAGCGTGTAGGCCATATTTAAATAAATTATTTAAAAAAAACTTGAACTGACTCCAAAATGGACTAAAAATTATTAAATTACACGTTAGTCCCGTCTTACCTCCCTCGGACAAGCACAAAAGCAGCCGCAGAGCAGATGAAAAATAATTTTTCTCCTTTGGAGTAGACACTCTTGGGCCGTGGGGTTCAAGTGCACAGGCGCTGATTATTATGTTGGCCCCTGGTAGATAGTACCGGTGACCCAAGAGCTGGTGCTTTCCTCGCTCAACGAATAAGGAATTGCCACAGGGACCAAACTTTTTAATGTTGTCTTTATTTTCTATTTTTAATTATTATTCTTAACCTAGATAGGTTAATAATAATGAAAATACTGTATTGTGGATTTTTGTATTTAGGTTCTATTATTTTATTTATATTCAGTTATTGATTTACACGAACACTCGCTGAAATAATGTAAATTAGTACAAGTCTTAAACTGACTTCAAAACATACCGAAATACGAGGCGAGACAAAATATCAATTCATGTTTATGCACAGCATAATCCACGGACGGCGGAGCTTTACTTAAACGGTCCTTACACTTTCCAAAAACTCTTAAAAAAGATCTGTTCAAAAGATTTACATTCAAAGACATCACTTATTGCATTTTTACGTACCAGAGTCATAGTTCGTTCAAAATAATCAGGGTTAATAAAAAAAGTGACACGGTTTTATTTACGAACTAATAATACACATTTAGTACTTTATAATGCGCAGAGGCGATGAAACTCAGAGAAACTGATCGTGGTTGGTAACACAGAAGACAAAAGATCACGTGGCCGTTCAACCAGATGGACCGATCAAGTGAAAGACTCATCGTCCTCAAAACTGTACACTGTCATAAGAGTAGCGCTGGACCGAAACCGGTGGAAACAGATAGTCCGCTTCAGACGCTTTCTTGCTGACCACGATTCTCAGACATGAGCTGCCGATTAAAAAGAGAGAGTACTTTAGACTGTAACTTTGCCATTTAAGTAGATTTCTTGATAATGAGTAATTTGAATAATCTCGCTCAATTATGTAAACTGAAAGATTTAATTACCTTCTAAACAAGGGAACTAAGTTATCGGTATGTTCAATCTGTTTGAATTGTTCAAATGTTCTAATTTGAATCCGATTCAAGTTATTTAGTTATAAATAGAACCAAGCAGTGTTTTATATGTCTCTATGCTGACCACGTACTTTCACGTTATATATAATAATAATCCAGCGGCGCTAGTGTTTCTTTGATACAAGTACGTGACTTATATGTGTCTGACACAACGATTTTGTAATCTAAGGCATGCCGGTTTTCATGTTTTCCAATCCTACATACAAGTATTCATTGCGCTTATAGAATGTTAAATTGGCCATGATTTGAATACACAACCTCTGGGTTGCAATTTCGCACGCTTCAGCCACCAAGCCAACACTGCTCTCATATTTCTATAACAGTTATGAATTTTGAGCTCTTTTTTTGATACTTATCACAAAATTCATGCACTAAGAATTGTACCATGGAGGTATATCTTTATCATAACGTACATGAAAACAAAAAACTTAACGATACTGATAGCTAGTAGATAAAAATAGTAAAAAAAATACGGAAAAATGCCAAAAACCAACTGTAGCTATTATTGTACTACCATTCGATTTGTAAATAACAAAATACGATTGCTTTTTGTTTGAATGATATTTTTACATGTAAATTCCATTCTTATAAAAAATAAATCCGTCTAACTGTATTCTTTAAAATATTTCAATTATTTGTCGTTATCATCGTAGTGTAAAGTGTAAATACAATTAGTCACAGACAAAAGACTAAGTACTTTACTTAAATGAATTCTGACTGAAGATTCCATGGAAGTCCGCGAGAAGATATACAGAATAATTCGTTAATGAAGTCTTTGCTCGTGTTTAACATCGGCCAGTTCGGGCAGAGACCCCGCTGGCGGTGGGATTGTTCGCGGCCTGCTGATGCAGGACGGCACTAGAGCGTATAGCCCTTGGTGTGACTTGGAGCGGCGGGCTCGGCTCTTCTCAATCTTTGTCTTGGTTCATCCGTTGTGAGGCCGTCAACCTGACGGCGAGATGACCTGTGAATATAGCTGCGTTATCTGTCCTTGAGCAGTGTTGGCCTAGTGGCTTCAGCGTGCGACTATCTTCCCTGAGTTCGTAAGTTCAATCCCCGGCTGTGCATTTGCTCGAACGATGAAGAAAAACATCGTGAGGAAACCGACATGACTTAGACCGAAAAAGTCGACGGCGTGTGTCAGGCACTGGAGGCTGATCGCCTACTTTATTAGATTTAAAAATGATCGTGAAACAGATTGAGATTAGCGCCAGTGATTTTTGTTTATCTGTCCTTGCCCCGGTGTTTTGTCTGGTGGTGTCAGCGAACTGTTACAAGCGGGTACCGAAGTCTCGTTTCTGGAGGCCTGGAGTGCCACTGTGCGAGGTCCGCCTGCTCTTACATGCACCTGGCTGACCGTGCGACAAAACCGTCGATGATAACTAATGAAAACGAACAGTCACCAGTATATATACATATTCTTTAAGTAAAATAATACCGCGTTTATAATGCAACAACTGCCACCTAGTGATCGGCATAAAAATTAACTCATTGATTAATAAAATGCAAAAAGACTAATTACATTTTTATAAATATCCAATAAATTTACAAATTGTTACGTAACTTAGGCTGAACTGTCAAAGGCATCTCTTTTGATTTCACCTAGGGACATAAATAGGCTTTGTCGGGCGTGACCAGATATTCAAATCTCTATGGAAATGTCAAAGTTCGGATAGTTAAAGCGTGAGTGAATACGTTAGTATAAACAGATAATACTAACTTTTTTATTCCTTTTTCGGGTCGCCTGTATGACATATTAGTCCTGCATAATATGTCATAGGACTTTTCGGCGTCACTACTGAACAATGAATAATAAAGAATATATTATCTTAATACAATATACAGTATATATACAATTTTCTTATCCGACATAGTAATACAACGAATTTAAAACCTGTGGCATACCTTAAACGCTGGATGAATTTCCACGACATTGAAATGATTACTATTAACAAATATCTATGTAAATTAAGTCGTGATTAATGTTTTTATTTTTATAATGAGATGAAAGAAGAAATTGGGTTTTAAAGATTTAAAACTTAAATTTTTGATAATTTTAAAACTATTGATTAACTAAGAACAAAAAAAAACTACAAATACAACGGCTATTGCTTAATAAGATTGCTAGAACAATCTTTAAACATGGAGTGTTCAATTCTCGGCAATAATTCCAAAAAAGACCCAAATGAAAAAAAACGTGTACATAGTGTGTAGTACATTATTAAAGTACTGCAGTTCCGTTCTTATGAGCCATCGATTTAGATACTAACTTCAAAAAAATAGTATTTGATTTTCGTCTAATGATTTCGTATTGCCGGCGTAATGATTTCGTAATGATTTCGTATATCTATCAATATTGGCCGTATTGATGGATTCATCAATCACATTTTCTTTATATAAACAAACCATGCATTTTGCTACTAAAGAAGATCGACATTCATTGAATGAAAGCTCCATGTGATGGACATGCATTGTCTACTTATACTCACAAGACTGGCTTGGCTTAAGTTACTATTTTTAATATGTTGTTATCTTC